GAATTAGGAATCGGATGGGCCAGTAATGCTGCATTTGCCATATCTGTTTTGCATTGTTCGAAAGATTTTATTGCGTCATCATTCCAAATAATTGGTGTTTTGTCACCTTTCTTGTTACCCGCTATTAACGCTTGGAGATTGGCCTGAATTGCCGCTGCGTTGGGTAAGAAACGTCTGTATGAATTGATCATTGCGATAAAACGACGTAGTTCGAATGCTTTTTCCGGTTTGTTAAATTTTAGAATAGCATCTACGCGTTCTTGCAAGGGAATGATTCGTCTTTTGAAACGGTGTGACCAAGAAAATTTATTTTTTCTTGGCCAAAATGGCATTTTGCTAAATTGATTTTCATATCGAAATCGCGTAGTCGCTGAAAGACCTGTGTTAAATGATCGCGATGTTCCTCGGGATTAGCTGAAGCAATGCAAATGTCGTCAATATAGACAGTGACAAAATCTAAATCGATGAACATGTTGTTCATAAATCGTTGAAAAGTTTGAGATGCGTTGCGTAAAGGCCTTATTTGCTAAGAACACGATTGTAATCGTGTACGATTCCAATCGTCCACGATTTTTTTATGATCGTCTACGTGTATCTGAAAAGCGTTAGATGAAACATTCCCGATCATGAAAGATCGGTTGGCGATTTGAAATAATCGTACACAATTACAATCGTGCGCAAATCGTGTCCTAGGAAATAGAGCCTTAAGCCAAATGTCATCACATTAAACTCAAATAGTCCGAACGGAGTGATGATGGCTGTTTTTTCGCGATCTTCTTCAGAAATAGGAATTTGATTGTATGCTTTGACGAGATCGATTTTTGAGAAAATTGATTTGTTTGCGAAAACATTTGCAAAATCTTGAATGTGAGGTAACGATCTGGAGTCGTAATAGCATTTAGGCCCCTGTATTCACCGCAGAAGCGCCACTGTCCATCCTTTTTGGGAACTATGTGAAGGGGGCTTGCCCAAGGACTTTTGCTTGGTTGACAAATACCCGCTTTGATCATATTTTCAAATTCGGCTTTGGCCAATTTAAGTTTTTCTGGGTTAAGCCTACGTGCGCGTGAAAAAACTGGCTGACCAGTGGTGATGATTTGATGTTTGATTTTCTTAGATGAAAGATCGTTGAGTGGTTGGAAAATAGGGGGAAGTGTTAGATCTTTGAATTGACCTATTATTTCGCTGAAGTTCGATTTGTCATGAATAGAACTGACTCGTTCGTATTGTGTGAGATGTGAATTGCATTTGGATCGTAGTCCTGTTTTCGCGTCAATCAATTGTTTTCGTTTAACATCCACTAGGAGATCAAATTTTTCTAAGAAATCAGCACCGAGAATTGGTTTCGATACATTGGCTACTAAGAAATTCCAAGTGAAGTCTCTTCGAAGACCGAGATTCACTTTGATAGGTTTTAATCCGAATGTTTCTATGGGTGTGCCATTGGCGGCAAAAAGTTTATAGGAATCCGGAATTTTGGGGTTTTTAGCGAATGATTTTGGTAGAACTGAAAAATCAGCCCCTGTATCGACGAGATAATCGATTTTGTTTGACTGGTCTTTTACGAAAAGGCGGTGTGAGAAAATTGAATTCACCTCGTGGGCTGCCGCCGACGAGGTGCCTGTTAGTTTCCCGAATCAGGGGTTGGTTTTTTGTATTTGCATGGCTGCTCGCATTTTTTTGCCATTGCACCGAACCTAAAGTGAAAACGACAGTAGGGGCGGTCACCTTTTGATTTGGAACGTGAACGCATGCTAGAGGAATTTTTGAAATGATTCCTTCCGTGCGGTGATTGGAATTTTTCGAAATTCTTTGTTAGTTCCTCAATTTTTGCTGTCAAGAGTGCAATAGGCGACAAACTGGGGGTGCTTGGAAGAGAGGATTTAATTTCGCAAACCTGTTTGGGTGCTGTCAATTCGACAATTTTGTCTGCTAGAGTCGCGCAGGTATTGAGATCATCGTTGGAAATTGCTACCACTGCCCTGACCGATTCAGGCAAACGATCAATCCATAATGATCTTAATGCGTCGTCTTTCAGCGAGTTTTTGGCTAATTCTCTCATTTTGCGCAATAATTGTGATGGTTTGTCATCACCAAGTTCAATTTCCGTCAGCAAAACGCGCAATTTCCTTTGGTCAGACGCGGTAAATTCACTAATTAAACGAGTTTTCAATGATTCGTATTTATTTGTATCGGGCGGATTGCGCACTAAATCGGAAACAGTCGCCAAATACTTAGGGTCAAGAGAAGCTATCACATGATTGTACTTTGCATTGTCACGCGTGATATTACCATTTGTGAATTGGGCCTCCATTTGGATAAAAAATATATCCGGCTCATCTTT